GTCCTTAAATACAGGGCAGAATTGTAAGGAAAATATAGCTAATCAACTCTTTGAAGGAGTTAGAAAGGTTAAATAAATATTTTGCAAAAAAAAAAAAAATTGAAAATTGAATTAAGAAGGAATTAAGGTCACATCAAATCAGGAGAATGCTTGCTCTAATTCCTTTCAAAATCTTCTGTCCTCCATTCTGTTCCCCAAAGAAAGTATAGATTAAAATATGACTTTATTTCTTGTTATTTTATGAAATGTGAAAATTTGCCGTAATCGTTATAATAACTTCTGAATAGATTGCCGTTTTATGTCTATTTAATACATCTGTACCACTCTTAAGATAAGATTACAGGCCACTTTGTCCATGGAGTTTACATATGGGGTCAGTTTGGGTATCAGAACAGACCAATTGTCTTTCACCAAAGACAATTAGCTGAAAGATCACTGTGAAGTTGATGCGGAGTGTTTCGTTGGAGGCAGAATCCTGTCTCGATTATTAAACTGTTACGATAAGGAAGAAATATAAGCACGATGGAGAAAAGTACACTGAGGAGCTACTTAATATGTACTCTTCAATACATGTTAAAAGAGTGATGTGACTCCTACAGTGGCAACAGCGGTTGAATCTCCATTCCTTCAACATATATGTTGACTGCAGCTTTGAGCGGTTTTCTACAGTTATTCCATGCAAATGTCACACTACACTAATGCCTTGATGTTCCCATCCTATTCCTGTTCAATCAAATCTTACTGTCTCATTCCATGCTACATACTCTCTCAGATGACACAGCATCGATAAATAGCATGAGAACCAATCTGCCAAAGGCAGTCCACTCATTGCAGTAACAAAACTTTGGGGCTCAAAGTAGGACAAGCTCCACAAGAGGAGCTAAAGCAGTCTAGTTCATGCTAAAGGTCACAAGAATGAGCAAACATCACACAAGATCTGCATATAAGAAAACACCGTTAACAGCACGTGGAGGCCCATAGGGTTGCGAGACCTTAAGGTTCCCACATTTTCTAGACAATTGCCTCCCAGATGGCGGTAAGGTTGTCAGTCTTATGCGCCAGCCGCCCTTTA